CAGTTAATATTTATGTTATAATATTTCATTTCTTTCATTTATTTATTTCTATTTTATTTATAAACGATCAAAATATATATTAAATTTCTATTCTTATTTAATAAATTATAATTATCTATTGAAAGAGAAAGGAAGAAGGAAGAAATAAAAATTATTATTAAAACTATAATCTGGAACCAGGTAGAGTAGAGTTGGAATCAGTTCTTAAGCGAATCGGGAAAGCAAATACTAAGATTTTGGGTTTTTTTTGGTAGTTTTTTGCGGTTTTTTGCATTTTTGGGGGGCCAGGGGGGGTCTGATGGTGAAAGTGATTAGTGCAATCGATAGAGCTCATCGAGTGCTACTTGGAATCAGGGAAAGTAGAGTTGGAATCAGCGCATAGGCGAATCGGGAAAGCAAATACTAAGGTTTTTTTGGTTTTTTAGGTTTTTTTTACGGTTTTTGGCATTTTTGGGTGGTAAGGGATGGTCTGAGCGAAAAAGTTCAAAAGTGAAAAAGATAGAGCTCGTCGAGTTCTACTTGGAATCAGATAGAGTAGAGTTGGAATCAGTTCATAGGCGAATCGGGAAAGCAAATACTAAGTTTTTTTGTTTTTTTAGGCATTTTTTAGGGTTTTTTTGCGGTTTTTTGCATTTTTGGGGGGCTATGGGGGGTCTGATGGTAAAAGTGACTAGTGCAATCGATAGAGCTCGTCGAGTTCTACTTGGAATCAGGGAGAGTAGAGTTGGAATCAGTGCCTAGGCGAATCGGGAAAGGAAATACTCGAATCGGGAGCTAAGATATCCTACGTTTATTCCGTATCTTGTACGTATTTATCATATTTCAATGACATCGAATATCATCAAACAATTCTCCCAACAACTTGCAACTTATCTATGTGAACGATATATGGCACCAATATCTTATCTCAACATCTATCGAGCTCATAACGAATTTCAAATCATAAAATCTGTGCAACGTAGTCTACGAAAAGGAAAATATGTACTTCGTGTAACAGATAAAGGTGGCGTATTTCATATTGGTCATTCAAAAGATTACGAACAAAAGGTAGAAGCTTATCGACAAAAAACGGGAGCATATGTTGAATTAGAAAATAATCCATTACGGATAATTTTTGAGAACGTAGTAAAACTACTCAATGATCTTCGTTCGAAAAAACATATTTTTGCATGGCAACTTAACTAAATGATGCCAAAACGAGATAATGTTGAACTAACTTATCTGTATTTTGTTCTAAAACCACATAAGGTAATTTTTGAATGTCGTTTCTTTGCTATCATTATTCAGTTCTATTCATATTTATAGGAAGGAACTCGATTAATATCAATTGTATCTTCGATGCATACACCAACAGATGATACTTCTAAGTTTCTCGATCGATTACTTCGACCATTATTTGATAAGCATGTTCGTTCTACTACAATCATCGATGGTGTTGATCTCATTCGTCGCCTAGAAACATATGTTCCAAATGGTCACTGGAAGCCAACAACTTATTTTTGTACATTTGACATTACAGATTTATACACCTTGTTGCCTCAAGAAGAATCTCTCAATGTACTTACTGAATTTCTCTTGGAACATGGCTATCAAAAAGTAAAAAACGTTCCAATTGATGCTATTCGGAAATTAGCTCGTCTTGTTATAACAGAAAATGTTTTTACATACGAAAAAAAGTTCTATCGACAAGTAGTTGGTGGTGCAATGGGATCTGCATCCACTCTAACTTTAGCAAATATCTTCATGTGGAAATGGGAAAAACAACTTGTTCTTCACCAAATAGCTTCAAATGAAATCTA